GAGCGCAGTGGGGGAGATTCAAATCGAGATACATTTGTGTCCAGGCAGACTAGATCATGTCAAATTTGGCCGGACAGGCTCTGCTCATATATGCCAATTGTTATAATGGTAGTATTTGAAGAATGGTTGCTCACCAGTCTCCATAGGAGGGGGAGAAGTTAGAGAGATAACTGATAAGCTGAAAATCCTTTAACAACAGGAAGTGCGGCAACATCTCCAGCAGTAACACAGACAGAAATAAATATATATTTCAATAATATACATTTCAGATCGATTCTTGGATAAAGATGGAAACCGTCTCTACTCCCCAAATCAGAGCTTTCTACCCTTTGGAGCAGGGATACGTGTGTGTCTCGGAGAAGCCCTGGCCAAAATGGAGATCTTTCTGTTTCTGTCCTGGATCCTCCAGAGGTTCACACTGGAGGTACCAGAAGGGGACCCACTGCCAGACCTGGAAGGGAAGTTTGGTGTTGTTCTTCAGGTGAAACCGTTTAGAGTTATTGCTAAAATGAGAGAAGTGTGGAAGAACATAGAAATCACTACATAATTACGATGCCGTGCCACATTTCATTTCACCTTTAACTGAACAGAAAAAGGTACAACCCCATAGTGATGTTGGCTTGATGGCAATGATGTATATTATGTGTAGAGTCACCATTAAGAATCTTATCAAAGTCAAAAAATCCCCCAATGTACATTTTACATATCTAAAAATTCAAAATTAAATGTTTCATTCAAATAGGAGTATTCTGTAAATGTGTTTCCATTATTGTTATTTCATGCACTGTACTATCTCTAAGTCCCTATAACATCCTGTAAATGATATCTGTAAACCGTCTAAACTGTTTAATGGCTTCTTCACTGTTTAACTGTTAAATTATGCATTTTTCATTAACATTGACAGCATTACTTGGCTTGATGGAGCTACCAACTTGAAGTGAGTGGAGCTTTGGGTAGAGGTTGTTCCTTCTGGTACTACAGAGGGGGATGATCATGCTAGGCATATCTGTCTGAGCTTTATGGTTGGTGTCTTTGCATCTGTCTATTAGCATCTATTTTAGCAATAATCTGCATCTGTCAATTTTTGTGAATGCATTATTAAAGTAACACCCAACTCAGGAGTTAAATCTTAAAAATGCATTCAAGTACCCTAACGATTAACAAAAATGAATCTAATTTGTGTAGATCCTCAAATCAATCTGAATTCATGCTGACACGGTCCTTGCTTTTGGAGGGTGACTACTTTTATTCCCCATGGTCCGTGTGTGTGTTGTAAAGTAGCCACCACTCCAAGCTCAATCCCATGATGGACTACAATCTCACGTTTAGTTTACTAATTTGTATTGAAGGAGCCAGCTTTGAGCGGTCCTTTACCACACACACACACACACACACACAGGGACCATGGGGAACAAAAGTAGCCACCCTCCAGGAGGAAGGACAGTGTCAGCACGAATTTAGAGATTGAGTATTTACAGCTGAGAGCTACATTTTTGTAATAGTAAGGTACCTGATTGCATTTTTAAGATATACTGCGGGGGTTTAGTGACTCTTAAGTAAAGTTCTACTTTTCTGTTAAATATTAAAGGAGAACTATGGGGTTAAGGCTTTTCCCCATAGTTCTCCTTAGGGTAACGGGAGGACACAAACTAGCGTCCTCCCGTCACCATAGGCTCAGTATACCGTGAGCTCTAGCTCGTGGTATACTGAGACACCGCGAACTGCTGCTCGCGGTATACTGAGCTGCTCGCTGTATGTCTGGATCCGCCCAGCTGCGTGACTGACAGCTGGCTCTGCTTATCTAGAAGCAGAGCCAGCTGTACCCGCCCTCTCCCCGTCCGTTCCGCCAGTCAGCGCTGGCGGATCAGAGCGGAGGAGGGGGGTATCCAGCCCCTCCCCTGTCATGGCAGAGAGCCGTGACAGGATCGAGAGGTGAGCGAACGCCGGTATGTGTTCGCTCACCTCCCGATCTACTGAGCCGACCTGTGACAGTCTCATTGTCACAGGTCAGCTAGAACTATGAGGTGAGTGAAAATCACTCACCTCATAGTTCTCCTTTAAGGATATTTGGTTTTACTTCAAAGTTGTACAACCTTTTGAAATGCCTATCCTGCAGCCTTATGACTTCCATTAGTATGCACATTATCCCACAGATCAATTGCTTTATGTTTGGATATTTCAGAACTGGTTCTTTTGCATTGTTAATTTATGATGGTATTCATCTCCATCATAATATAGTATTCACCCTCTTGATAGTATTCACCCTCTTAATAGTTTCATTTTAGCTGCCTTCAAACATTTGTATCCCCAAATTAGTATTTCCTATGAACCCATCCAATTAGGATTTTGGGCCAGTTAAAAATACACTCACTGAACAAAGCTCTCACTCTGAAAATGAAACATCCAAACCTGTGTGACAAATTAAACAATGTCTATAAATGTAATTTATTCAGACAGGGAGTCAGCAGATGGCCCTGAACTATGTCTGAATTCCACAGTTTTATTTATGCTTTATCATATGTTAATGTCCATTATACACTATGCTTACTAGTTGTATATTGAAACTGAGAAGTACATCTTTTGGTAATAAAAGATAATTTTAACCACCTTTGTGTTTGACTTTTATACATGTTCACTGAACATGAGGGAACCACATACTGGAGATAGAGCAGTTATGTATATTTGATTGATTTGGTTAGATGTTAGAGGGAAGATTCTCATAAAAACTATTATATTGTATATATGCAAATACAGTGCAGTTAATCTTCACCAGATAGAGCATTTCATATATTCAGCTGCTATATCAACTTCTTATACAGTTAATTCTTGCAACTTACAACTTAAACTGGCCCAATACAATGTTATCACTTAAGAAGTTGGTTGTATATTTATTCATTATGGGGTACATTTGAATGTTCAGGAAGTATTTATTAGGATCTAGAGCTTCCACATCATCGTAAAGGAATTGCCAAAAACCCTGCTTAATAAAGCAGGTCCATTGAAGGTAAAAAAAAAAAAAAGATACCCATAACAATATTGTGTTTAGCTGAATGTGTTTTATGCAGTATACATAAGTGGGTTAATTTGTCCTCAAATGAAAGTAGTTGTAGGGGATCTAAACACCTGGTCTTCAAGCAGTTAAAGGGACTCCAGCAACTTGTTCCACTTACCACTCTTCACATGCATCACAAAAATAGGAGATATTACACAAACAGCATTCCTGACAATACAGTTCCCCATTAATACAGATTTTAGAATTTTAGCAGACAAGAAGCTAATATAAGCATGCTTAAACTGGGCTCCTTGATATACCTGCAACTGAAGCACTTGTCCACAGATTCAAGTTTACTCTCACTAATGGACATGCAGGACCTAGGCTGGTCACCCATTAGAATATTGGAGAAAGTATCAACTGACCTATTTTCCAGACCATTCCACAGCCCATTAGATCTATAAAAGAATCTGAATCCCAGGGAAGTACTCTAGAACTGACTTCCTGGTCATTGTGTAAGGAATGTCCAGTGTGTTCCAGTAGAAGAAGTGTGGGTACATGCAGGTGCATACACTGTGGCATGTGGCCCTGTGCACATAGGGTCACTTTTCAGCATGTGCGCTGTGTGTTGGCTTCAACACCGCCGGTCCTCTGACCTGTCTCTTGATCTTGTCCTGCTGTTGTGACCCCAGCCTAAGTTTTGGACTATTTTCTGCTTTCTAGGAAACTCACTGCCTGCCTATTACTGACCTCAGCCTGTAGCCTGACACTGTCTCTACTTTATCATTCGGTACCATACTGTCTCTCCCCTCTGATTTCTGCTCATTATTTTTACCTTCTATAGTTCTTCCATCCTCCCTGTATCAACACACTAATAACATTTTTAAATAAAACCTATTTTTTTAATTACATATCTGATTTTGTACCCAGTGATGTCATCGCTGGTCTGAGTTTCTTAATGCAATGCAGGCAGATCATGGCTGGTGGGAGGGGCCAGTAATATGCTGCAACTAGCTTCCAGAAAACATTACAGCACCGTATCTCAGTACTCCTTTCAAGGGCCCCCAGCCTTCCAGCAAGCAATGGCCTGTCCATCTTAGGAATCATGGAAATTCCTAGGCAAACTGCATTTGCGTGCAGACCATGCTAGGTAAAACCCACTTGTGATACTGAGCCTCCACAATTTTTCTATTGCAAAAGGGAAATATAAAAGGTATGTTTAGACCCCAAATATTTTTCCAAAGCCCCTGACAGTAAAAAAAAAAAGGAAAAAGTTTAAAAAAAAACACCCCCACACACATAACATACACGTGCAACTGTGTGTATTATGATGTACATTATGCTCATGCACTGTGGTGCGTTGTTAGAACACATTGCAATGCTTGATTTTTTGATTTTGTACTTTTTAAAAAATTAATCCAAATGTGTGGCAGCGCATGGCAAAGCAATTAAATGTATGCCTGCATCATTTTATCACAACACACACCAACAGTGCGTACAAATTGCACTGCAGATGAGGTGTTACTACAACACAGATTTTTAGTATAAGTTGCTTTTTTACAGCTTTGTGTTAATTTTTTTTACCATTTCATAAAAAGGCACAAACATTTTCACATATTTGTTATTCACTTACTCAGTATAGTTTTACCTTTTAGATATAGTAGGATTCTTGTAAAATTTGTTTAGTGAAATTAGAGAATTGGTGAACAGGTTTGTTGCTTGTTTATAAAAGATTGATATACTACCCCAACAGCAGACCCAGCAAGCACTCAAAACAAAATAAAGAAAAGGCCTCGACTCCCTACAATAAGTACATATAGGAAAGGCGGAAAAAATGGTTTCAAGCGAGGCGCAAATAATGATTGATTTCATTAAAATATTTTAGAAAGACTACCTCCCTTAGGTCTTTTATACAGTGTAGTTAATTAGCTACAACAACTATGCAACTTATTAGGACAAGTCCCCCACAATGTCAATATCCAAAGCCCCATGAGCTATTTACATGCGTTTGCAATTTTTCTCTCATGATCGTTTACACATTAAAAGATCAATTTGCAACAATAAATATCACATTGGTGTGGAATCCTTATTTACCTCCATGAAATAAACGTCTGTCTTATAAATCAGTAGCTCCGCATTGAATATTTTATTGACCCCATGAAGGTCTCCTCTTTCTGCTCCGCTCAATATATATTTTATTGATACTGTTCATGCTACAATAAAGCTAGCCATATTTTTAGAAGTAAAAGCCTATGAAATAATTTTGTGAAATCCTTTTTACATACACAATGCTGCAGAAATGTAGAACATTATGGAGTGGTTTCAATAGATCCATGCAAAAAAAAATGTAAGGGTCCATTTACGCCATGCATTATGTTACATGTGAGTTACGGCACGTTATGCTCATTTTTAATGGGCTGGCAGAACATGCTAATGCACTGAAAATAGGACATGTTCCTCTGTAGTCACGCACCACAACGCAACAATGCACAGCATGTTCCTGTGTTGGACTGATACAAGTATACTCAATGGTCCTTGCATCCTACTACCGTCAATCATACCAGGAAAATACAAAATTAAGCAGTGCCTCTGACACCACTTAGCTGCCCATACTGTAAGTTCTAGGAAATCTACGCAACCTCCCACCATTGCAGAGCGGGTGTGCGAGTTGGATGCAATTAAATAGCTTGAAAGACCTGGGAGGAAGACAGATATGGCCAACACCATAGGACCATTTTCAGAATTTTCCAACCCTGCCCAGTCTCTTGGTATGAGGTTTAAATACACACACCACACTTTGCTTCATCTATATAAAAGTTGCTTTACTGTCACGATACCATGCACAGGTGTCCCCACACCGCATGCAGGTATCTACAGGAGAACCAAATGCATGACCACACCAAACAATGCTTATGAACTATAGTTGATTAGTTAATCCAAAAACATCACAACCATAAGCACCCCCACCACCACTCGTAAGTAACATATAAAAGCCTAACACAAATAACAAAGTACACACTGGAGACAACAGGGCAAACTGTGGGGAGCAGGACAACAAGAGGGGAGCCACCAATCAGGAGACCTCAGGGGCAAGGTTCAGGCATCAGGATATTGCAACAATACTAAGGCACAAGCCCAACACCAAGGAGAGGCTAAATACCCTCCCAGATCAGCACCAGGTGGTGACTAACCGCTGATTGCTGGGACACCCTGCAGGTGAGTAATGGAACTGCAGGACCTGGCTCCAGCACCACAGTGCAACCTGGAGGTGTTCTGGTCCCTGACATTTTCTTACTTCTTTCTATGTCAATTGTCAAAGTTTTCTTCTATAATCCTCTTTTATAGCAAATAAAACATATTAAGGTGGCCATACACCTGCCGATTATTGTACAATAATCGCGGGAAATCCCGCGATCGTACGATAATCGGCAGGTGTATGGAAGGCTTGCGACTGTTTCTACTGTACGGTCGCACGTCTTTTGTCTTATGAGCACATTGGAAAACCAGCCGAAAATCGTACGATTTTCGGCAGGTTTGTGGCGTGCTCGTAAGACAAATGCCACACGGGCCCGCTCAGCAATGCAATCATCGGAAGCCCTCCCCTCAGCGGGGCAGGCTTGTGATGATCGCAAGTACGATCTGCTTGTCCAACATGGGCAGATCGTACAAGCTTTTAATTACCTTACAACCATCGCAAGACGAAAGTCGTGCGATGGTTGTAAAGTGTATGGCCAGCTTTAGTGTGGTAGGGTGCCATTCAAAATTAATGGAACCACAACATGATACAGGCATTGTGGCATCCATCTGCATTAACAGAGTACACATTAATGCACATGTGGTATCATCAAGAAATGAAAACATTTATAATTCATATAAATGTTTTATGGCAATGAAACTACCTCATGCTTTAGGCTTTTGTAAATTGGGGTTATATGCTTTAATGTACAATGGCTTTACAGTTTGATTTATATGGTTGCTTTGGTTTTAGTTGTGGATAGTTTACTGAAAGACTGCTGCATAAAGGTGGCCATATACCTTACAACCATTGCACAACTTTTGTTGTCCAGACATCTCACCCTCATTCAATTTTCTTACAACTAGTCCATCATGCACAGACCAATGTAGTTAACAATTAACGCTCGTCTGCACCACCACCTGGCTGATTTTCATCGATCGAAAGGACAGATTTTCGTTTGAGCATGTGCAGTTTGCATCTTGAGATTTTTGTTGTACAACAACGCCACTAACCTGTTAATTTTCATCCAATTAGACAAAATTTTTGTAGCCTGCCTGAAAAACAAAAATCTGCCAGTTGTACAGTAATTGAGGTTGTGCACTTCCCATCAACTGCAGATTTTCTGATGAAAACGCAATCGCAGACAAAAATCTCCAGATAATTGTAAGGTGTATGGGCACCTTTCGTAAGCACAAGCGATCCTACTAGTGATCTTGTGTCATTTGCATCTTCAGCGTGCAGGTGTGCATTTGTAGGAGTTAGCCCTCGTTCACACCTGAACGGTTTGTAGCGCGTTCTACCCTCGACGAACGCTCTACAAAACGCTTCAAAAATATAAATCCCATTGTTTTCAATGGTCTCGTTCCCACCTTGGCGTATTTCCGCCCGTCCCTAACGCGCTACAAAACGGCCCACGCCTGAAAATGTACAGGTACTACTTTGGGCCGTTTTGTTGCGCGTTTCCATTGGGATACAGCCAAGTAGCCTTCGGAAGCGAATTGCGGTAAAAAACGCGCGACAGACGCGCATATGCAATACGCCTAGGTGTGAACGAGACCTTACACTAACCTGGGCCTGCCAGTCAAGAAGACTGGAGAAGCCAAACCCACAAGAAGACCAGCGCAGATGAAGGAGCTTGTGGAAGTCGCATGGCTGGAGCGGAGTACTGCAGACTTTGGTTCCACTTTAAGGCCCCGTTCCCACTGCGCGATATGCAAATCGCGCGTTTGTCGCGCGATTTGCATATTGCACGACATCGCGAGATTTGCCGCGCGATATCGCGTTCAAGCTTGCATTGAGCAAGCTTGAATCGCGGCTAAATCCGCTCCAAAAAGGGTCCTGCTGTAGCGACACACGACCCGCGACAGCAGGACCCTTTGCCCCATTGAAATGCATTGGAGCGCGATATCGCGCGGTAATTTGCCGCGATATCGCGGGAAGTACCGCGCGATAAATCGCTCAATGTGAACGGGGCTTTAGGATAAAATCACAACAGTAAAGCATAACAGTGTACAATTATAAAGAAAAAAGGATCAATTTATGAATATTTTATACAATATAGAATTATCTCAATCAATTCTTATCATAAATAAAAAGATAAAAATATAAAAAATAGTTCTGATTGCTTGCTCTAGGTTACTGTTTTTACGAATAAGAACAAAAACTCCATCGAATAAGGACAATAATTTATTAAACTTGTTCAAACGTCCATCTGAGAAAGTACATACTAAACTGTAACAGAAACTTGTGACTTGATTTAAAGCTGTAAGTTGTGTTATTGTAAGCAAAAAACATTTGCTAAGTAATGCCTGGAAGATATGATAAAACACCTGAGAGGCCTTGAGTTTAATGATCTATAAGCTCTGATTGGCAGCTGAGAAAACCTCCTCCCTATTTATGTGGCATGTACATGGAAATGATCATTTCAAGCCAATGAAGACACCAGCATGATTGTGTGGCTTGGTACTGCTGCTATGGTTCTAGTCTCAGTGCTATTCCTCATCTCTTTCTGGAGAATAGGATTGAGAAACCAGAGAGATGTAAAGTACCCCAAGAGCTTACCGTCATTGCCTGTCATTGGGAGTTTACTCCACCTTGAGAACCTGCCTCCACACCTTCTCTTCTATAGCCTGCAGAAGAAATATGGCAAGCTATACTCCCTCAAGATGGGCTCCCAGCAGATGGTTATAGTTAATAACCATGAGGATGCCAGGGAAGTCTTGGTGAAGAAAGGCAAATCATTTGCTGGGAGACCACACACCGTGAGTATCACAAAAACCAGAAATGTGTAACCTGGAGGGCAGGTCTTCAAACAGGCTGCACTAATAGTTTGTGTTGCATGCTATTCTCTAATACAATATATGTTGTTGGCTTCTATTGGAAACATACATTTTGTAAAGTTTATATAAGCCCTAAATTAAAGAGTTACAATTTAGCCTACCCCTTGTTAAATATTGTGAGTCAGTTTTGCACTGAATACTTTTTTCTTTTATTTGCACCTTGTTATGAGTGCATTAAGCTCCCTGTACTAGAGTGACAATACTGCCTTACTATGCCTAGTCTATGAACACAAATCATTGTCACCCTAGGCCATGTGCTCCTGTTGGAATATAAGCTGACATGGCAATACAGAGTGCTGGCATGTTTGTAGACATGTGGATTCGGACGAACCTGCAAATCAATGAAAATCAGTGGTTTGTCTGAATCTGAAATAACTAATTTTAATATATGCCCTAATATACTAAAACGATATTCAGGCATACGTAAATTTGTTTTCAGAACAAGCCAGCGGCCATATTGGCTGCCAGCATGTTCTGCGCGTGGCTGCTGCCATCTTGGAGGCGGAGCATGTGACATCACACGCTGAACGAGCAACAGCCGCTATGTTCTGTGCACGTGTGCTGCCATTTTGGAGTAGATTCTTGGTATACACCAAGATGGCGGTGCTCGAACATGCGGCCGCAGCCATCTTGGCGTATACCAAAATTTACTCAAAGGGCGGCGCGCCGGCGGCCGATATGGCCGCCGCTTGTTCTGCGATTTTAGTGTTCGGATTTGGAGGCTCTTGACTCCGAAACAACATAAAAATTTGTTTCCTTTGACGAAACAAGTTTTTTTTTGTTTTCACTTGTTTCGTTTTGGCTCTCAAGTCACCAGAAACTATCCCCAAACGCCGTAGAGTTGTGCACAGTTGGATCATTTTAACCGGCAAAAATTTGAAGTTTTAGAAAAGATTTGAAAAATGTTTTTTTAAGTCAATTATAATTTTGAAATGTTTTAGCACACAAAGTTCCCAAAACTACACAGCAAATGGCAGTTTTTATTGCACATTCTACAGAGCGGTGTAAAAAAAACTATAATAATGTCCAAATTATAATAACAACAACCAGATGTACCTGTGAGGGTATAAATGCTGGGCTATGTTCCTGACACTCATTAGAACTTAAAAAGCTACTATCATTTAGAACAAAATGACCTGGATAAACATGTTTTTAGTTTATTCCCGAGTAACTAGCATTCTTGCCTCGGAGTCCTGGGTACAAATTCCACATGGGACTTTCTCCTGTCTATATAGCTCTCGTTTATTTTTGTACATCTCCTCCAAGGTGCTTAACTTTCATTCCACAATCCAATTAAATACGGATTGGCTTCCTTCTGAAATGGTATTTGTATAGCAGTTTAGAAGGGTTATTCGAGTCTAGACTTTATAATTAAGATTTAGCCTATATTACATGATACCATTTCTGATGAGAGGTTTCTCTGTGGTATATTTGTGTCCTTCGTTGTGTAATATTCTGATGAGTTTGTTTCTGCTTGTATACTAGCTCCACTTGGTCTCATGTTTGTTTCATATCAGGTGACAACGGATATTTTGACAAAAGGTGGTAAGGGTGTTGTTTTTGCAACGTTTAGCCCCAGCTATCAGTTTAATCGTAAAATGGCTCGATCAGCACTGTGCATGTTTGGGGAAGGAACTCTTGCCATTGAGGAAATCGGTGAGTATTCATACAATTTATCACAACCTGGGTGTACAGCCCATGATACCAATGCAAGTTTTACACAAAGCATCATGGGTAGATTCACCATGAAGCACAGTGGTTAACTGTTAAGTTGTGGGTATTCGATAAAGCCTAATACCTACTGAGGGGCCCTACTGGTCAGTGAGGCCATCCATTACATAATATAAGTGTTGACACTTGCCTAAAATTGTGGAAATTACCCCATCTAATTATCCAACAAACCCCATTGTTTTCTTTTATATATAATTTATGTCACTCTTTTGGGGGCCAGTTTGGGAGCAATTCCAGTAGGTTAAGTGGTTTTATCACCTGGATGATTCTTCCAAGCAATTTCCTTCACTGGGTGATGCCAGCAATTTGTTTCCAGTAGCAGAATTGTTTGCCTGATATCGGGTAGCTAGGGTCTACATACAGTAAAGATGTTCATTCTAGAATTATTATTTTTTTTCCCGAATCAAGTTTCCCGTGAAGCTACAGTCTTGTGTCAGACCCTCGCCTCCTCTCAGGGAGTCCCTTTGGACATGGCTCCGGAGATCATACGGGCTGTCACTAATGTGGTAGGCTCCCTGTGCTTCAATGCCAGATACAACAAAGGAGATGCAGAGTTTGAGACCTTGATGAAGTATCATAAAGGGATAGTGGACACTGCTGGCAAAGACATCATGGTGGACATATTTCCTTGGCTTCAGGTATGCCTATAATATGTATGTTTATCTCTCTGTGATGCCGCCTAAGTCTTCAAGAAAAGTTATGAAGATGCCGCAGCTACAATATGTTCTACAAATGGTAGAGCATATCCAACCCTAAGAATAAAACTGTACCCCCCAAACAGCTATTGGATTTTCTCTTATGTATAGAACCTTGCCACTCAATTCCCTCCCCACTGGTACACTTGTACCATTGCAACTGCAATGTTTTGAAACTCTAATTTTGTCCAACTAAATTGTGTATGGGATTTAGGTTGGTATATTATGTAATAGTGCCCAAAAAGTGTTGTTAAATCTGCATGGACAAGCATTATTTGATCTTAATCTTGTATCACATTCACAGTGAAGTCTGATATCTGGGCTAATCCTGGTAGATGAGAATGACGAGGACCTCAAATTCTGAAAAAGCTATGGGGCTGGCGGTTATGATTTCTGGCTAGAACAAGTATGCAGATGAGGACTTCTGACTTTTCTTTGACTTTCCTGATATGCATCTTTGTCCGTCAGTGACTCAATAAACACTGAAGCCAGATTTTCACAATAGACGCAACTGTTATTTTTAGGAGGAGGTCATCAATGCCAACACATTTGGATATACAGAAGCCCTTGATGTTGCAGAGTTTCAAAATCCTCTTAGGCTTATCAATGTTAAAGAACTATCTTTTATTATACAAACGCATAGCTTATATTTACATTCATTTTCTAATCACATTTCTCTGGCAGATATTTCCGAACAAGGATCTAAACATCCTGCGGGAGGCGGTGGCAGCTCGAGAACAACTTCTCAGTAATAAACTTAGGGAGCATAAGGTGGGTATATTAAGTGTAGCTATAAAATGTATAACTCAAAACAAATGTATAACTCTGCCTTAGCCTTATGTAATATTACCATGATTCAGTGTTGGTGCTATTTAATATGGTGGTTTCATATTTAAATGCATAATGTAAAATTAATTTGAAGGGCTACAATGCATTTAGAAAGGGTAGACAATATAAGACTGCGTCCTTTGTAAAAGCCTGTTGTACACCAACTGAAGCAGAAGTTGCAATGGATCTGTTTTTTAACAGCAATTTCTCTCTATAATTCATTCATGTGTTCTATAGGAAACATTTTGCAGTGAATCTCCCAATGACATGATGGATGTTCTCCTGAAAACCAAAGTGAGCGTGGAAAACAGCAGCAGCATATCACAAGGTGTGGGGATGCCAGAAGATGAGATCCTCATGACTGTAGGAGATGTATTTGGAGCAGGAGTGGAAGTCCCATCTACAGCATTGAAATGGGCGCTTGCATTATTACTGCACCATCCACAGGTGAGTAACTTACAGTAGACTGTAAATATTCTGCCTCTGGATGGAAGATTTCTTTTGCCTAAAAGGTGCAGCTTTGTTAGTGTCTGAAGAGTCTCTGATAGGGGTATTCACTAACATAGGACATGTATCATGTAACATGTATCAACCATCAGAATCCTGATATTTCTTTCAGTGCTAGTCAGAAAATGAAAATAAGCATCTGATGTTGAAAGACACGTGCTGAGAGAAATACAGATGATCCCACTGATACCTTATTCTGAAAATGTTAGCTGCCTGGTAGGCTTTCTGACCCATTCAGATGAATGCTTCAGTTAAAAAAAAAAATGGATACAAATCCTAACATGCTGGTACAGAATCCCTTCCAGAATCCATGATATCTTTCTGAGGTTTCAGACCAGGGCTGGAGATGCAAGACAGCTTTTGTAGTAATGTCTCTAAAATGCATTCACATGTTCTATAGGATAGGTTTTGAAATACATCGCTCATTGTCGCTTTTAGTTTGTATTCTCATGTTCCACATTCTGTTCTGCACACCCTAGGAGGTGTAACCCACCCCACCTCTTTTGTGGGTTTCCACCAAATGACTATGGAACTCTGGGGGGGGGACCCTCATCTTATCTGCCACCCCCCTTTCTCCTCTACAAGGCTTTCTTGATGAGGCTGTTGGCACCTGGTGCACAGACCCCACAATGACCCTTCCCTATGATAACTACCTAAGTGTAAAATTAGATTAGAAAAAGATATTTATAGACTCTCATAGTTGTCCTGCTATCACTCTACTCTGCATGATACAAACTGTGTCCCAGTACCCCAGACCATTTGTAGATACACACACAGATGTTTGATTGTTTATACTACTTGGTACCAGAGGCATATCTGCTGCATTAAGAGAAAAATATATAAATTATCCCAAATCCACCAACGAGCGCAGCAGAAGTGATACATCGTGCGCCTCTTACTATTTAAATGGGCACTCGCTGTATCCAGCTTCTGACAGGTTAAGCAAAATGTGCAGTGGCCTTTCCCGCTACACCAATAGCGCAACCTGTCAAAATCTGGATGCAGTGTGAGCGCGGTATCCAGTGATTGCGCAGAATGTCTTAAACAGGAAGGGGTGGGGGAAATTTAGATTAGAGAGGGTGTCCGAGTTTAGTCTTGCCTATGGCAACACAGAACCAAAATACACCACTGCTTGGTACATGTGCTCTTAAATCCTGTTTATAAATAATTTATAATTGGGGTTCATAAGAGGTGACATGGCAGTTTAAATTAAAATGTGAGGCTGCTGACATATGCACTCCAATCACACTCCACTGACCAGCACATACAGTAAATGCACTTTCCTAAACCAAAACAGTTTAACAAAAGCAAAGCAAATGTGAAAATGCAGGGATGGAATGTATTGACTTGTATGGAGTCTTGTATGAAAATGACCTATGCCGAAGAAAAAATTAGTACATGGACATCATACAACGGTATATGCAGAACTAGACATTACAGCATACATAAAGACTAACCAATTGAGAGGGATAGGGCATTTAAATAATGGATGAGAAGAGGGATGTTGAGAAAACATGTGTGGGAAAACTAGAAGGCAGACTTAAGTTTTAATAGGACTAGACAAATATATAGAGTGTCATGTAAGACTTAAACACCTGGTAATAAAAACTAGAGCAGAATAAGCACACCTCCTGCGGGAGGCCATGTGTCTTTCAAGGCATGTAGCCCTGTGGAGCAAATAAGTACTGAGAAGCACTAGTATGCAAATCTTGATGGGGTTCGTTGGTGGGGAGCCTGGCCCCCCGTCATCACTCAAATGGTCTTTCAGTGTGATGGGGAGCTTCACTGGCCAATTGTACGGCACTTTCACTTTTTTCAATATTGTATTTCACTGAAGAATGCTGGAAGTAAAAATGAGGCCACAACGTTAGGCCACTGGGCAGATCATGTACATATACTTGCATACCAAGACAAGAAAGGTAACGGTAAAACACATAATATTTGTAGTTTACGTTCCCCTTTTTTTATTGAACACTTTTCCCTCCCTTACCTATCTTTGTAAACATATGTTTATAAAACAATATTTACATTTGAAGCAAACCATAAATACATTTTTTTAAATAGCTGCTGGCTTTTTTTTTTTTTTTTTTTAAGAAATGGCCTATAGTCTGTGCACATGTCTGGTTGATGGTAATGAGAAATAAGATGAGTTACTGTACCATATCTTTTGTACGATAAAACAGGTCCAGAAGAAGATCCAGAAAGAGCTGGATACCAAGATTGGGTTTGAACGATATCCACTCCTCAGTGACAGAAAAATCCTTCATTACATGGAAGCTACCATCGCTGAAGTAATGCGTTTTCGTCCCGCATCCCCAGTGCTTCCACCCCATGTGGCTTTGAAAGAATCTAGGTGTGATTTCATGTCTTTCCAATAAATTAGATTAGTACATTTCCACTTCCCATTCAGGATACTTCCAGTCATTTAGTCCATGATATTAAAGAAAGGATGACTATTATGGATATTTTCCACAGTACAATAGCCATAAGTGTGTTATAAATGTTACAGCATTTACCTGAACTAGAGAGATGTGACTTAACTTTAATTTCTTGTTCTGTATTGATGACTATTTCCATGTATGTCGTCACTCCTCTAATCGGGACATATTTATGTTTAATGGGATAGCACCAACTAAGGAGGTATACTACCATATTTGGCTGATTATATCAAAATGTATACTGTCTTCCTGGTAGGGGTAATTGCAACAGGAAATTGAACTGGTAAATCACACTTTTGACTACAGTTTCAGAGTGGATCAATTAAACAGTTAGTTGCATCCTGGACTCAGTCAGATTCGCTGCAACTCCAAGTTTATACAAACAATTCACCTAAAGTTACTTTTTACTAATCAACTCCATTGATTGTTCACCTTGTCTGCAGATTCAGGCGTACTTAAGTGAGCTTTGTTCTCTGGATCCCTAAAGGTGGCCATACACTTTACAACCCTCGCAAGACTTTTGTCTTGCGAGGGTTGTAAAGTACTTTAAAAACATACGATCTGCCCATCTTGGACAGGCAGATCGTATTTGCGATCATCGTAAGCTTACGATGACTGCAAATGCGCTGTGTTGGCCCGTTCGGCAGTTGTCGTACGATTCCCGGCGGGTTTTCTAGCCTGCTGGTTCGACGGAAGACGTGCGACCGTACATTAGAAACGGTCGCACGCCTTCCATAGACTGCACGATTCTCGTACGATTGTGGGATTTCCCGTGATTCTCGTACGAGAATCGTGCAGTGTATGGGCACCTTCACCGTTTGAATTTTGCCTTCATGCTCTCTGCCCAGAATCATGGGGCCATGTCCCCAACCCGCATCCCAGGTGCTGGACCAAGTTTACATTACCTTTTTATTTACAAATGGCAAATAGCAAATTTTCCTCCCAAGATAATTTGGGCAGACTTCACTAGGGTAGGTCTGGCAGTGGCAAGGTCAAGGTGCTTACACAGAGGCATGATCATTTTGCAACCCATCTATCACCAGTTAAATCTGGTGAGATTGATCCGTTGTCTGTAGGAACCTCCAGTGATTCTTTGGAGTCCAAAAGTGGGATTAGAGGCTCGGTGACACCCTTTTCATGGGACAAGAAGTGAGGGGGGATTCTCTCCAGCAGAATCGTAGACCGCAATATAACTGTCGCTTAGCATGCTGGAGGTGACTGGTTCAGTATTCTGTTTGAAATATGTTGGCGTTATGTGACTAGGTAAAGTACATACGTCAAGTACTTTAGGCCCCATTCACACCTGACTGTTTTGTAGCGCGTCCTACGCTCGACGAACGCGCTACAAAACGGTCAAAAAAATAAATAGCATTGTAGTCAATGCCCTCGTTCCCACCTGGCGTATTTCCGCCCGTCCCTAACGCCCTATAAAACAGCCCACGCCTGAAAAGGTCCCGGGACTACTTTGGGCCGTTTTGTAGGGCGTTTTCCATTTGGATACAGCCAAGTAGCCTTTGGAATCGCACGACGGTCGCGTGACAGACGCGCATATTACAATACGCCTAGGTGTGAATGGGGCCTTATTGTATATCCCTGCAGTATGTTCAACACTAATTATACATGTCTATCTCTTGGACAGTATTGGAGAATACACCATTCCTAAAGATGCTCGTGTGATTATAAACCTCTGGTCTCTACACTTTGATGAAAAGGAGTGGGTTAATCCTCACCTCTTCAATCCAGGTGTGTAATCTTACCACATCACATTATATATATATATATATATCATACATTTTTATTTTTTTTATGATCAGCTTTTAGCAAGGTGCCAGTGATTTGAAGCACCACAATGATTATTTTCACTCAATCCATTATTTCAATTTTTTTACTTTGTTTTACAGGAGAAGTGAGACTAGTGTTGATTTTGCTACATTAGTATTCTGTTCCTCCCAATTTGCGAGGAGGAAGAAAAACCCCCCCCCATATTATCCTGCACATAATTGGATACTCAAAGTGACCATAGCTCTACAGGGATAGTTAACATTTTACTCTTTTGTTAAATCAACCTCCGTTACAAAGGGAGCAAGCCAAGAGCGCTTGCCAAGATGTCTCCCTACTGCATGTTCTGACAGAGTATACTGCATTAGAAATGTGTGGGGGATGTATCCAGCCAGTCAGAGCTGTTGCTAGTGTACATGGCCATTTGAGATCAGTTAGTGATGCATTTGCCATGTATTTAATTTAGTCACACTTGTTATAGTTAAGTGTACCAACAAGAACATTTATTTTAGTCTTTACCAAGTAATGAGCTTCCAACTGCCATTTTTGATATACAGTCTTGCAAAGAAAATAAGACTTCTGGTGAGCTGCTAAGGGCAAAAAGAAATGTTCTTGTCTGCACACTGTTGATGCATAAGTTCAATAGTGCAGGAGGAGCATAGGAACGAGAGGAGAGGCTGAACAAGTTACACATTTTTATGACGGGTAAACAGTTCAGCTATATGTATATCAATTGCATTTTAAATTGTTTTACTCACGTCGCATTTTCATGTCTGTTTTAGATCGATTCTTGGATGAAAATGGTAACCGAATAAACCCAAGTCAGAGTTACCTTCCCTTTAGCACTGGGCTACGCACCTGTCTTGGTGAATCCTTAACCAAAATGGAGATGTTCCTGTTCCTGTCTTGGATCCTACAGAGGTTCACACTGGAAGTGCCAGAAGGGGACCCTCTGCCAGACCTGGATGGGATATATGGTCTTGTACTTCAGATTAAACCATTCAGAGTCATCGGTAAGCTAAGAGACGTCTGGAAGAACGTGGAAATCAATACCTAATTACTGTAAAGCAATATTGCCTTTGACCAATTGTGCAACACCAACACATTTGTATAGAGAAAATGCTACAATCCTATAATATCAGGATGTTGGCTTGATGGCATTTATTTATTTTATGCATAGAGATCCACTAAAATATTTAAAGCCGAACCCCACACAAATCTAAAACATACAAATTTATTCTAAATATTTAATGTATTTGTTTTGGTTTTTTTAAAGGGTGCCAGTGCTATACCTGACTTTTGACTTGACATCAGCCTCTTGCCATCCCCAGTACAGCAGGGAACCTATAAGATTACATACATGTAAATATACTATAGGAGTAGGGCAAAGTGGGCAGAGGGAAATCTTTCAACCTCTTCCTGCTACTTTACTGTCCAATCAGCAGGCTGGGGCCAGCAGTTTATTCCTGAAGTATAACAAAGTGGTGTAAGCCTGGCTTTGCTTTGTTGCACAGCTGTGTATCTCAAGGCTGAATTGATAGAACTGCAGATCTTTTGAACAGATAAGTTAGTTATGTATTTCATCCATGTACTTCATTGTTTGCCTGGAGTTTGAGCAAATTCTGCAATGTCTCAGCTTACTCTACAGCAGAGCGATCCTGCCTCATTTGGTAGAAGTTTGTTTTTAAGGCATTTAAAGGAAAATGGTGTAACCAATAACAATTATGTCAGTTTTCATGACCCTTCCTGTGCTAAACTGATGTCTGATTGGTTGTTGCTGATTACTCCATATCATTGATGTTTTATTAATTTGTATAACCATACTAAGTGGCTACAATGGCCTTCAAATTGCTGATTGTAGTATGTATCTGGCAGAACTATGAATGTTACCGCTTAAGATGAGAAAATAAATAAAGGCTTATATAACTGGTAAATGTGTACATGTTTGCATTTAAATAATGAAGCATTTGACATGCATGCTTGTGTGCATCAGACACTGCTTTTCTGAGTTTGCCTTGTCTGGACACCACCAAAAACATACTGTACATGCCCCATTTAAAGTGAATTTATAGAATCATCTTAAATGGAACTACAGCTAAAACATATGGTTCTGAATAGTGTAAGGAAAGGTTGGAACCTCCTGTGTTTTTTTTTTTTGATTGTC